CAATTATGATGAAGGAAGTTTGAATCTTGTATATTTTTTGTTTCATGCGTACTTTGAGGCATTTACATTGAAAGAATTTGAAGCTTTAAAAATGAAGTTTTAAATGCCGTTAATGCACGATTCATTAGGTTCTCTAACACATATAGACAAAATTAAACCCATGTATTTTATCAATTGATCAATCCACACTTGACCATCTAGCAATGATTATCATGTATTAGCGGTGATTAACATGGAATACATGATCAGCACTTTGAGCCTGTTTGATCAAGATTCTGAAAAATAAAAAAAAAATGTTTGACACTAAAAGTTGCTTTTGAACATATTTAAATATTTTTTTAGAAGTGTTTTTATTTATTTATTTATTTTTTTTTTGAAGTTATGAATCAAAATATTTTGAATTTCATTTTCTACTTTCACAATTTTGAAAAATAAGTAATCATACCAATTGCTGCAATTATTTGACACAAGAAGCAAAGATCAAGTCAAATAGATTTAAAGCATGTTAACCACTTTAAAGGCTACACATATAAAGGCTGGATATAACTCTAATAATTAGTAATGATCATTGCTCTACACTGTCGCTGGAATCACTACAAGGAGAGAAAAATCGGTGCTAGAAGGTGCCGAACGCATATTCCATTTCCCCTCATTCACAAAATGACCCTCTTAATGTGGACAAAACCAAGATAGGGCATCCGATGCCACAAGTATCATGCCCCAATTTTGGTACGAATCGACACCGAGGAAAACAATGCCCAATTTCCCATATCTCCTATTCTATTCAGTCTCTAACCAAATGTGCCTTTTTGGGACCCAAAAACCCAGTCCATTTCATAGTTGGTTTCAGGCTCTAATTTATAATTGTATTGGGTGAAAAATTACATCCACGTGTGAATTTCAATCATCAACTTCAAAAATGAGGTTTGAAACTTATTTATTCAAAAATCAGATTATAATACACTTTTTAATATTGATGATAATATTATTAAAATTTTCCTCCATCCTGTAACACCCCAAATTTTTTTTACTATTTTTCATATGGAGCCTAAACTCAATATTGTTAATTTAGCAAGTGGAATGGTTCATGTCAAGCCATGTCGACACACTAAAGTTCCAAAAAGTTGAAGTGATACACGTGACTCACTTATTTGCATAAAGGATCTATTTTGTTTTTCGTGAAAAATTTATCGTGAGTTATTTTAGATCAAATATTTAAATATTTTAAAAGTTGATGAAATATATTTTAAAATTACTTGAGAAAAAGTAATTTCGAGTTAAGTTCTGTCCGAGTTATTCTAATAAAAAAAAAGTGTTAACTTTTAATATTTTATTAATATATATATAATAAAATAAAATAAAATAAAGAGGACGTAACTTTCAAGTAAGAATTTAAGAAGATTTTAACCATAATTACCATTAACTTTTGATAATAATAATTAACATAATTAATTCTTAATTAATGCATTGATTGAATTATGTCTCCAACGTTTGAAGTCCCTAAAGGTTATGGGTGAATGATTTATTTAAAGTGTGAGGTCAGAGAATATTTTGTTATAAATTTTCATTAGTCCATTTTTATTTTAACACACAAATACTTTATTCACTTTCACATTATTATTTCAAATCACTTTTATTTCAGAATATTGGATGTTAACTGAGGTAAGAATACATCGTGCAAAGTGGTAAATTCTTATTCCTTGATATTTGCATAATTTTTGGCATAAAATGCTACAAGACCTTCGGGTCAAACTCTATGTTAAATCTTTCGAAATGGACCGTTAGGTTAAGTATGTTAAATCTTTCAGGATAGACCATTAGGTCAAAGATGTTAAATCCTACAGGATGGACCGTTTGGTCGAAAATGTTAAATCCTATGAGATATGAGGATTCTTAAGAAATTCCTTGAACTCTAAATCTAATAAATATCGGTATGTTATGTCAGTTTTATATTTATATCATGTAAATAAGAGTATGTACGTATTCTTACTAAGTGTTTTCAAAATACTCACTATTACGATATATTTCAGATGAGAACAGGTCGTTTGGACACATGAAAAATTGACTGAGTGATACACATGGGGTCGCCAAGTAAATTTTTTAGAAATGATAACTATCAAACTTTTATTTGAAATACATCTTCATATTGAATATTGTGCACATTGTTTAATAGCTATTTTTATGCATTTTTAACACTTAATGTTTCCGCTTAAATTAGACAAAGAAGATGTTGATGACACCTTGAGTTATTTTTATTTGAAAATAATAATAAAAATGAAAAATATATCAGGCCGTTACACATCCTTTCTCTAAATTATACATACCAAAATCCCAAGTCCTTTCAAATCACACATGCATGGTGCTCTTCATCTTCTTTCTCTTCTTCGGATTGGTGCAGTGACCCCTCGCTGCGCATGTCTTTGGAGTGATTTCTTCCTTCTTCAATTTGCTTAGAACGTTATTTTTTTTTGTTGATGGCTTGCAAATTGTGGTGGTTGTTTTGCAATTACAAAGGGTGGTTGTTGGTGGTGGTGCGGTGTGGCGATGTTTGGTTTATCGCGACAAGGTAGCTCATTTGGTTTGTGCCGGTGATGGTAGGGTGGGGTTAGGTGGGTGTAGAACGTTTGACCAATTATTTAAGTAATCGTGATTAATAAAATAGTTAATTTGCAGCCAATAAATAATATGTGACCTAAAAAACATTATGGTAATTAAATATGTAATTCTGACATTTGCGATCGAGAAATAATTTGTAACCGACAAATAAATTGACTTAGAAATTTGTAATTGGTAACTGTGATGTTATGTGACAACTATGACTATAAATTGTATTATATTGTGACCTTAATGCATTTAATTAATAAAATATTTTTAATTATTCATTTAATTAATAACATTTAATTATGATCTGATTTTTGAAATTTTAAAACAATTTTCTTAAATTTGAAATTGTATATTTAAAACAACTTAGATATGTATTGTTCCTCTTATTTGATTATCTGGACCACTAGCTGGACCTCGATTCGAGTCCAATATATTAAGAGTGTGTTTTGAAGGGCTTTCTCAAAGCTTAGCCTCCATTTGGCCCCATTAATTCTCATCACATTAAATTAAATTTTTCTCTCTCATATTTTCAATCACACAATTTTCAATAAATAATATTACACGTAAACTAAAAACTTTTTCTTTCTTTTTCAACCACCAACTTTTTCAAAAAAAACACTTTTAACACATTATAGTGCCAAGTAATGGGGCTCCAACGGGGGTTTAATATTACTTTCTGGAAGTCGAACGTTCTTTTATTAAATATCACTCGTTTGATTAGAGTTAAGAAGTGATTTATGCAGAAAATTTGATTTTCAAAACTGTTTTAGAGAAGCCCAAATTTTGAGTTTTGAGCTTCTCTAAAATGCTCTAATTGTATTGTTACGGAAAATTGTAATTATATTTAATGAAAATTTTAGCCCCTGATTGTCATCCATTGTTTAGTAAATTAAAGAGTTTTAAACAGTATTATGAAGAATGTGTGGTTAAAAAATAATGAAATTTTTTTAGTTTGTGTATAGAATATTTTATTGCGCTAATGTGTAATGGAAAATAATACTGTAACAAATAATTTTAAATTTTAAAGGGTAACAAACAAACACTTAAGTTAATAACATTTAAAAAAAAAAAAAATTACTACTAAAAGCTCAACTTTGAAAAATTCTATTTACAACAACTGTACCAAACAGATCCCAAAATCGGTTACTAAACATTTGCTTCCGTGAATAATGGGACAGTTCGCTGCTCCACGGCCCGTACCACCAAACGAATATCCTTAAGTAACGCGTGATGTCCACTCTCCCACTCCAGCTTAATAGTAGAAACAGGTTGGTTTAGCTAATCACTTACTTTTCTAATAATGTCGATAATAATATTTTTTTGTCCGACTAAATTATTTCAGCGGTCATTCAACTTTTTAATGTAATCTTAATTGAACCACTAAACTTCAGTATGTTCGATTCTGTTTCTAACTTAAATTCAATTTCAAGTTTCATTGGCCCGTCACATGCTTTCATATGATTATATGAATCCTAAACTAACAAAAATTACTTAGTTGGGCAAACTCACTACATAATTGTTACGTGACAAAATGTAATGAAAATGATAAAATAAAAGTTATGATAATGTTTATACACACACACACACTGTTCATACATTGTACATACGAGAAAAAAAGATGTATTTATAAAGTAACTTTTTCATGAAGACGAGCATAAGAGAATGTGGTTTTATCAAGGTTATGTAAAAGGTTCACAATCGCTATCATTATTATAGAATGCGTTGTAATTTATCTTATATAAAAAATGAAGAAGGTGACATACATAAAAGCATTTTTGAAAGATGCATCTTTTGCGAACGAGACAAAAGATAGAACAATGAGCTTCGTATTCTTCAAATGAAAGCACAATGTCAAAATAGGAACAAGAGGGTCCTGAGAGATTTCTTTGAGTTTTCCTAGAAGTTCAAAAAAGTACAAGGATGACAAGATAAAGAAATACGATGTAGGATGAAGGGAATGTTGAAGAGAAACTAACATATTTACAAGATCCTTAAAAGTAACGTGCATTTCATGTTGGCTACTATTTTAAATCTTATAGTCAAATGACATTTTTTTTGTTCTACGAGCTTTTACGACGTCTCATAGTTGTAAAAATAAACTATCAATTAATCACGTTTCAATTTCGGAGACGCAAGCTAACAAAACGGTGAAATCGTATAGTTGTAAGTTGGGCTGCCAATTAATCACGTCTCAATTTGGGAGTCACAAGGTAACAAAACGATGAAATTTTTAATCATTTCGTAGCTTATATCTTAATTGATATAAATTACTTTAGAATCAAATTCAGATTTTTTTGAAAGTTGAGTGACCTTAGCTGAAATTCATCCAAATATATTTCTCTCTAATTTGTACACTCTCCAGTTTTTACTCTCCTAAACCCTAACTATTTAACTGTACACGGTCTTTGCTGTCTCTCTCCGCACTTCCTCCTTCTCTCTCTCTCTAAATCCTAGAGAGAGAAAGTAAATTTCATCTCAATTCTCGGTTTCAGCCTTTTAGATTCAATTCTATCATCACGCATAAACATAAATATATTTTTTTGAAATATATGCACCATGGATCTTCCGAGTTTAGCTCTAATTTTGCAAGGTGCACTCAGCCCCAATCCAAGTGAACGCAAAGCTGCTGAAGAAAGTCTAAATCAGGTACTTCGCTATTATTTTTCTTCAAAAATCAAAATTTTCGTCCCTTTTTCCCAAAAAAGGATGAAACTCGATCAGGTGAGGGAATGGATCGTTACTATAGTAAGGAATGTGAAAATATCAAAATTGAGGAAATTTATTCTCGGCTATGGATTGAGTGGTTTTTATTTAATTTTTCTGAGTTATTGGAATCTGAAATGGTTGGATATGAAATTGGTTGATTTTTGAATGATTGTGCAGTTTCAATATGCACCTCAGCATTTGGTGAGGCTGCTTCAGATCATCGTAGATGGGAACGTTGACATGGCAATCCGGCAAGTTGCCAGCATCCATTTTAAGAATTTCATCGCCAAAAACTGGTCGCCCCATGATCCCGGTGAGAATACTTATGATTTAATCATCCAGCTGGCATAGGAGTTGTTAACAGTTTGCAAGTTATGAATTTTGTATTTTATATTTTTTTTGAAAATAACTTGCAATCTAGAAAATTCAGATATTCAATTCACAGAGATGTCAAAACTATTTGTGTCATTCTCTTTTCTACAGTGTGATCAAGCCTTTACATGCTTATCATTTCTGCCTCATTTATTTGATCTGGTAAAACCATTCTGGGAAGCTTTTGCGTTGAGTTTGAAAGGAAATACAGACTAAAATGCTAAAAACCAATTTTCTTTACTTGTACAGCGTGCCAGTCACAATATGTAGTAGAAATGTCGTTTGCAGGATTTCATGTACAAGTTAATGTTTTATGTCATAATAGGCGAGCAATCGAAGATCTCACCGAGTGATAAGGAAGTGGTGAGGCAGAACGTTCTCAATTTTGTTGCCCAAGTTCCTCTGCTTTTGAGGTTAGTATTTTTGTTTACTCGTATTTACTCCACTTTGCCAATGATAGTATCAATTTGGATATTGAATATCAGCGTATTAATTAATGCTCACTTGCCTTGTGCATCTGAAATATATTTCTCTTTAATGTGACGAGACACATGTTGTTGTATACCACACGTCCATTGTCTCTATCTGCCGAAGGTACTTGTTTGTACCATTTATTACACATTTAATAATTTAACTTAACTTTTAAATTTCTTTTGTTTGTAAACAGGGTACAGCTGGGAGAGTGCTTGAAAACTATTATTCATGCTGACTATCCAGAGCAATGGCCAACTCTTTTGCTTTGGGTGAAGCTTAATTTGCAGGATCAGCAAGTTTATGGATCATTGTTTGTATTAAGGATTCTTTCCAGAAAATATGAGTAAGTTCACTGAAATGGGCATCCATCTTAAATTTGGCACCTTTTGATTGCTAATTAGAATTTTGTGGTCTACTTTTTTTTTGCTAATAAATAAGAATCATGCCTGTTACAAAAAATTAAGAATCATGCCTATGTGGGGAATAATTATATGGATGTGTCCCAAGGACCGAAGGCGGTCCAATAACTCATCTTTGCTGTTCTCTGGTTGGAATTAAATGCTGCACAGTCTTATTTTGCACTTTGTACCCTTCGTTGTATCTCTGCAATCTCTGTAATTGTTTATCAGCTTTTATTCTCTCTGTGGTCTGATCTTTTTACTTCGATATGTATAATAAATGGAACATTTCTCATCAAAGTGTATTCCATATATTCTCACATTTGAGTGACTTTTCCATTATGCAATTCAAGCCCTCAAAAACTAAGGTCTCTCGTGAAGACTGAAAAGAATGTGCAGTATATTAGCATGCGTTCATATATATACACGAGATACAATTTTTTTTTTTTTAAATATCCTCCCCACCATGAGAAAAATTAGCTTTGGTGACACAGGTCTGTTTTTTCTAATTAATTTGTTTGTCCAGTTAAGCAAAGTTGCAACATTCTATACTTTGACCTGTTGTCTTTAGTGGTTGGCAAAACAAAACAGTTCAATGCTAAAGTGTTTGGGTAATCGTGAATGCTGCAGCTAATTGTGCTGTTATGGTTGGTTGTCTACTCTGCTTACTGCATATCTGCAGACTGTTATGGTGCATCTACTGTGTCTTGCATGCAAATGCTTCAGACTAAACAAACATATACACGCGTATAACATCTACCGTGTCTCGCCTGTTTGTTGTCTTCAGTCCCTCTTGACACTTGTTATTGCCGAATGTCGTCATCAGCCTGGTTTGTCATATGTTATGAAATTCTTCTATCAATCTAGGGAATAAAAAGGAAAAAAATTTGTTACTGTTTTCTTTAGTTTTTCTTGGCACCCACACACAAACATTTATGGTATTCCCAATTTGTTCTGGAATTCTTTTTTGTATTTAGTATAAAGAAAAAGAGAGAAGATTTATTTGGTTGTTGGATTCTAAGAAAATAAATTTACTAGTCAATGCCTTCCTAGATTTTTCCATAACTACAATAACTAATGAAGTAATTTCTTGTGATTTTTACCATGTCAGGTTCAAATCAGATGAGGAGAGAACACCGGTTCATCATATTGTTGAAGAAACATTTCCTCATCTGCTTAACATTTTTAACCGGCTTGTACAGATATCAAATCCTTCAATTGATGTTGCAGATTTGATCAAGCTAATTTGCAAAATATTCTGGTCTTCTATCTACGTATGTTGAATTTTTCTTTCTTTCATCATTTACTGGGTTCCCGAAGGAGGAAACGTATTGGGTGGCATATGGCTGTTTGTTTCTCTCAAAATCCTTATAGAAATAAACTATTTTACCAGAAAAGCTTTCCACGGTGTTGCAAGC